TTTTTTTTTTTTTTCATTTTTTTGAGCCATAGTCTCACTAATGTGGCCCAAGCTGACATCGAATTCCCAACAATCTTCCTGCCTTAATCCCTCTTCCCCCCGACAGCAGTACTGGGATAACTGGTGTGCACCACCATACCCAGCTTTATTTCCTTTTAAATCACTTCTCTGTCCATGGTTTTAAATCTGTAGATTCATTGTGCAGTCACATAGCATTTAAGGTCCCCTTGGGGACTCCAAAGGATAGTCACTGTTTACCAAATAGCCTGCATTTGGGATTTTGAGTTGAAAACATCCTAACCCATCCTTCAGGTTTGTGGAAAAAGAAGCCTCCACCCCAGCGTTTTCTATGGTGCAGGAGGTAGAGCTGGCCAGGCGTCTGCGGGAGAAGAGCAGAAGTGGCCTCCCACCCCTGCTGAGATCTCAGCCCATGGGGCGCAGAGCTGGGAGGGCTGCACATGATGCTCAGAGGGTCCAGGGATGGCTGCTCAGGACAGACTCTGCTTAGGCACCTGGCAGCACTCTAGGAACGAGGGTGACTCAGCCCAAAAACCCCTTCCATTGTGGAGATGGGGGGGGGGGCAGAAATAAAGACAGCCAGAAAGGAGGCAAGGAAAGTCATAATTTTAAAATTGTACTTTTAAGAAAAACTGCAGCTTCAGGACAGAAAAGTTACGCTTGCCTTTTTCCCACTGAGGAAGTGAAAAACAAATGACAACAACAACTTGGAAAATTCTTAAAAACACTGTATGCTGGCTCAGGGCCATTAACTGTGTGTGCATTTCTGCAGACGCCATCCTCAAGGCACAGGGTTCGTAGGCGGCAGATTGCAGCCTCCAACACAGGTAAAAGACCTGTGCACTTTCTTTGCCTGGTGGATGGGTAGCCTGGCAGACAGCGGAAGCATACAGCCTAGATCACCATCTTGAAACAACCCAAAACCACATAAACTGGGTGTGGTGGCACATGCATACCTGTAATCCCAGCACTCGGAAGGCTGGGGAAGGAGAATCACCAAGAGTTTGAGGCCAGCCTGGGCTACACAGTGAGTCCAGGCCACCTGTACTGCACAGTGTGAGAGATGCCCTGTTTCAAAAAAACAAAAACCATAAATATCACATTCCTGAGCCAAAGATACAGCTCCCAGTATAACACCTGCCTGGCAAGCACAAGGTTGTGAATCCAATTTACAGTACCAAGAAAAACAATCACATTCTTGGCCACAATGTATCCCATTTTCTGAATACCTATACTCCCAAGTGTGTGCCAATCAGAACTGCATAACGAAACCCTGTGTCAAAAAAAAACAAAGTAAGCCAGGCATAGTGGCACACACCTATAATCCCAGCACTTGGGAAGTTGAGGCAGGCGGATCACTGCGAGTTTGAGGCCAGCCTGGGCTACAAAGTGAGCTCAAGCCAGCCTGAACTGCATAGCAAAATTCTGTTTAAAAAGAAAAAAAATGAGGGGGCTAGGGATATGGCTCAGCAGCAGAATGCTTGCCTCACATGCACAAGGACCTGAGTTCAGTCTTCAGTCACACACACACACACACACACACACACACACACACACACAGAGATTTAATTTGGGGGCTGGGGAGATAGCTCAGAGGCTGAAGCGCTTGCGTGGCAAACGCAAGGTCCTGAGTTCAATCTGCAGTACACACACACACACACACACACACACACACACACACACAAGGTTTTACAGCATAAGAGCCTATAAGACCCCTTTAAGAGTCACTGAATCAAGGTAGGCAAGGTAGGCCTGTTAGGCAGTTAGACATCAGCAGGCCTGAAGGACAAATGGAAGAAAGAAAAGTCAAAAATACCATGCTTTTCCAGTTATAGTTAAGAAACAAAGACCAGTGTGTGTTAAATGTTAGGTCTCAGACCCAAAGCCATCCCACTGAGCAGTGATATTTCAAGGTTACATGTTGTACATGCTCCTTTGGATAGCTGGCCACCTGCCCATCTTTTCCAACAAGGCACACAGCATTTCTGTGCCCTGGCCTTCGCCCAATGATAGCAGAATGGGCAGCATTCTTAGAGATCCTCCCTCCTTGGGCTGAGAGTTGACTTAGATTAGAATGTATCTTTCCTGAGTTTCTTCTATAATTATGGCCTCTGAGAGAACAGGAAAACCTGGAACAAGAAAATGTTTGACATACCAACTTCCCAAAGGAAACTGTCATTAAATGTCAT